GTGAATAACATTGACAACAAAAGCAAAGGATCAACACATAATGTACAAGCACGTTAATTTTCACTGATATAAATAAATAAAATCGAAATAAACTTAGGGATTTACAAACAATGGATCTTACATCTCGTCTTTCTGTGAGGTGGTCTTTGACAAAATGAAATTTACTCAGAAGCTTGGGCGATTCACTGCCACTATAACAGCAAATAGATAACATCAAATTATGTACAATAAATTAATGTTATAAATAATAAATATTTATTAGTAACAACTTGTTGTATTCAGCATTGGAGTTCAAAACCTTTATTACAGTGATGTGAACACATGACTTGTACAACAGATCGACTATTTCATTACCTATCACATAAAAAGATTGTACAAGGGCATGGCATGACTTTTAGTAAACAAATAAGTAACAACAACCCATGCATCCAAGTAAAAGTAAAATAGTGAAATCCCTGGTTATTATTATTATTATTATTATTATTATTATTATTATTATTATTATTATTATTATTTACAAAACATGACATTCGTAGTAAGAGAAAGTTGACAACACAAAATGTATAGTAAGTTGTTTTCTTTTTCACAGCAAAAAGAAGTTTTTTCCACAATGTTGGTTTCTAATTTTTCATAAGCCATCATGGGCTTCTGCCATTAACTGTTGTAAAGAAATACAAGCAACTTGCATGCATTTATAACAAGCTGCGTGTAAGACGTCACATAAAAATTTACGCCTGAGTTTTTTGTGTGGATTTTGCATGTAATTCCACCATATTGCACCCAATTTATGCATGTGTAAGTGCTGCATTGCCCGTGGCCTGTACTGCACTTTTACCAAACACCACACACACCTTCAGTTTGCAAAATTCAATGTACATGTACATATGTATGGGAAACTTGTACAACGCATTAATATACATGCAATTAGAGGAATCCTCAACACAAATCACGATGTTGTTTACTAAATAATGAAAAATGATTGCTGTTAGTTTCTAACAACAACTTCATGAAGCATACCCTTTTGGTTTTGTGATGTTGACTTTGCCTTTGTGTCCATCTGGTAAATCTGCCTCACCAGTTCTGTTTTGCTAAGGAACAAAAACACAAAAGGTACACATTTAGTATGCCAGTCAGTGAACAACAAAAATAATTCAACAATTTGCTGCTCCAGAAAATATCCATACTCCACCCACGTGGGGTTTCTTTTGGTTTGAGCCCTACCCACTCCACCCTCATTAGTTCTTCACGTTAGTTTCTTTGGTTCTTTGAGACCCCTCCCCCTGCCCCTCAGGATTTTTCAGTGACCCTCCCAGGGCTGGGAACAGATATTTTCCAGAATCAAAAGATGTTAACAACCAAGCATCATACCTGTTTCTCGTACCACTTGAACAAGGTTTTAAGCAAAGAAGGCAAACTGTATTCTGCGACAATGTGCAGTGAACTTAGCAGCTGAAATACACCAATCAGTCAAGACGCCAATCAGAAGAGAATTATATACAACCCTACAAGTTGTGACCATTTTAGTTGCCATGGTGGGGGGGCATTGAAATTCCAGGGGGTAGTGAAAAAAAAGGAGCCTCCAGATTTTAGATCTCCAAAGATTGGCATCTCTGCTTTATGTGTACATCTGTACATCTGAGTGGAGACAAGAAGAATGTTGAAGAGTTGAACCTATTCTTTTGAAAGACAATTGGGAGTCAGATATTTCTGAACATTATCCAGGTAACACTCTGATGAGAGAAGAATGGGTCACCTCTGTTGACAAAGGATCCAGTAACAATGCAGCTTACCATTATTTGGTGTTAACCGGGTTCATCAATTTGTTAATGTTTATCTAATAAATACACCATCACTTCAGTTCATAACTACAAAGAACCTATGTGCCACTGTCCCACTGTTCCACCACACTTCAATGTCACTGTGACAATTTGTGCCACTATTCCACTGTTCCACCTCTCTCGATACTATCACTGTTACAATGCACCACTGTTCCACTGTCCCACCATATTTTACGACCACTGTGACACTGTGCCATTGTTCCACTGTCCGACCATACGTAACTACCACTGTGTCCACTATTACACCCCATTACTACTACTCTGTTTCTACTACTTTAGCGTCAATACATTTTGTTTGTTTCTTGTTATTTAACAACTGCATTGCTAAAATGGAGGTTGGGTGCCTGGAGTATCCAGGGGCTTCCACTATTAGCAGCCAGCCCCTAGATTGAAATAATGCCCCCATGACTGGCACAACAGCGCAACCCAGCCATGAGCCCCCACACGAAAGGAAAGGAACAGGCACCCTTTACACTGAAAACATCAGTGGAGAAAAAAACCAACAAAGCCTAAGGGGAGGGGGGGGGGAGAAAATGGCTGACAGAACCTAGCACAAAAAAACTGAACATGCCAATGAATCACATGATCAATGTAGCCAGCTACTGGGCATGCGCATGCCAAAGACTGCTGACCTCAGGCTCTAAAGGCACTCTCAGTTGTCAACTCCTTTAAATTGGATTTAAATGCATGAAAATTGGTGATTCAGTGCAGTATTTACAGTACATTTTACGTGTAGATAAAAATTGACAAATGGGTCATTCTGGTACAAATGCAAGCCAAAATGCAAGCCACATATACAGTGTTGAGTGTCTAATTACTAGTAAAAAACATTACACACTGAATTTATTTACCTGATCAAACTGAACATCCTCTCCTCTTTGAAGTGATTTAGACAATGGTCTTTCCTAGAAAGGAGACAAGAACTTCCATTATCAAAAAATCCACTGTTGCATAATGAAAGCTTATGTATTATTACACTGATCTACAATAAAAATACTTCCACCTAAAATAGCAAGATAAATAAGGCAGGTGAAGATTCAAAAATAAAATAAATTTCATAATCCTAATATGCTTCTTCATCAATTACAATAGCAATTTGTACATAAATACAAAGTTTTTAGAAAGGAAAGCTTGAAGACTAAACCTTTAATGGAAGAGTACAAACGTTTCCAAAAGTGCAAGATTAATAATATTTATCAAAGAAGGAAGAGGAAGAAAAAATGTACTAAAATGTTGAATGTTTTACACACTTCGACAGTTAAATTTCCCTGTAATATAAATGCACTTAGAAACCACAATAAATAACAAAAAGATATAACGCAATCGTTATAATGTGGTTATTCTCTCTATCCTTGATTTCAAATATTGATTTGTTACATCAAACATTTATTTCATGATCAATATTAAATTGACAATGACTGACAAGGCCATGGATACAGTCACGAAACAAGTTATTATATTAGTCTATGCAATACAAAGCAAAGAATTGTTTTGACGTGTATAAAAAAAAGGTGCTTCCTAGTAAACACAATGGAATTATTTTCATCTTTAAAACAAAATTCAGAAAATAATACCTATCAACTCAAGTTAATTCCCTGGCACTATCTGTGCATTGCAAAAGAATCAAAGTTTTAGGACATAGTCTATTCAGGCTAACTGAGCAAATTAATGTAGGTTAATGCAAGTATTCCTCTTAAACCATGGAGTATTATAATCTCTCCTAGACTTAAATGAATTTATTTACTTTATCATGATTTTTTGGGTGACTGAGTAGTCCAAAGTCTAAAAAAAGGCTTCTGATGAGTCATAAATAGAATTGTCAGCAACAATAACTTAGTTCCTTAAAGGTTTAACCTGTAATATGTTAATGCACTTTGTTTCACAACCATCTTTCATAAAGCTTGTGAAAGGACAATGTCTGAGGCCTAGGAATGAGGCAATTTAATTTCACCCCTTAAAATTCTAAATTATGATAATTCAGGAAGAATTTAACTTTTTCAAGACTAAAACGTGCACAGATGAAAGAGTGTCATTGGATTTTTTTCAAAGCAATACTAAAAATAGAACATGGTCTACACATACATCGTGCTTAATTGAATTTTTAAATAATGTACATGCTTAATGTTGTGGGTAAAATCCATTCTCAGTTTAAACCAGCATCTAAGTAGTTTGAATCTGAAATTTTCCTAAGAATGGATTTTACCAATAACATATCCGAATATTTAAATATTTTTAGTGTTTTCTCTCTGGACCACAAAATGTTTATGCTAAACAGCCAACTCCGATTTCAGCAAAATAAACACTAACCATGCATCACTTGCAAGAGCAAATAAAAAAATGCAGCAACCAAGAAATTCCACATTATTTATGAAGATCAGGCCACACACGGCCAAACAATTAGAACAATGTAACAATACAAAGTACAAACAAGAATCATTAATCAAAGATCAAAAGATGCCAACACGTGATCTCAAAGTTAATACTACATCTTTCAACAAGTTACGCTGTCATTTGATTGAGAAAATTACACTGTTCAAATCTTAATCTATCTCTTTTTCAGGTTTCTGACTGTTAATTTTCACTACATTCATAAGCAAACTGTGTTGACAATTTCTAGCATGAGCTAAATGCATGTTGAAGAGACACCTAGCTAGCATGTTGACTGACCAAAGACCTTTGTCATGCTCTAGTTACCAGCACTGTGTACACATGGCCAAAAAAAATAATTTGTGTTTGTATTTTGTCACGAGATTACTGAACTCTCCCAAAGAAATATATTCAAGATACCGCATTTTTTAGCCTTTTACAAGTTTACAGCACCAGACTTGTTCATTGACGGCCGTGTACAGTTTTGATGACGTCTATCAACAATAAAAAGGTTCAAATCTTTCTCAGACTGGGTCATCTTATTGTTCTGCACACAGTGGTAATTATTCAGAGACATAAGGAGCAAAACCAATAAAAGATTTTATTCAAAACACCTTCCATTTTGTAAGTAAACCGATTCCACATTATAACAGCGATCAATTATTCGTAAATCGGACACCACAGATAATAAAGGTCAGTAATTATAAACATTAGTTAACACAGCTAGAGCAAATGTGTCCGATCGTGGTCGTAAGCAGACATCGCCTAAAGCCCAAACTCACCAATGGCTCCGTTAAAACGGTTTCGATCTTCTTTTCCGCGAGAACAGTGAATTCTGCGAATAAAGTTCTCAACACAAACTCTCCAGGTGTGACATCGCAAGCAGCAGTCGACGTTTGTCGGTCAGCTGGTTGCCCCCAAGGCAAAACAAAACCGTTCTCAAGTGCACTGGAAGGCTTGACATCTTCTAAAACTTTAGAAAACATTTTTAAACTTCATTTTTAAGTTTATGTCAGCTGAACGGGTAGTCACAAATAGGTAAAATAAAGGCGACAACACAAGCCCAATTTCGATATTGCTAGCCAGGCAGATCGCAAGGGGTCGACACATCTCGATTCACCTTCACAGTCTTATGTAAACTCAAGGACATAATATTCAGAAATTTCCTAGTTGCAGAGAGAAAACATATAAGATTTTTACTGTAGGGTCAAAGAAGACAAAAAGAATAGTTCCTGTGTTAAAATTTACAACAACATGGGCCTAAGATTGACCGGGAATACTTCAACAAAAACAAAGCTTCGAATGACAGTGGCTCTTTAACGAAGTTAACGACAGATCTCGGCAACAAAGTAAAGCTTACCTCGATTTTCAGTCTGTGCCATAGCTTTTAAGAATAGACTGCTTCTTCATGATGCTTTGTAAATTACTGTCTTCAAAAACATTTAACTGGAAGGTGATGAACACCGAAAGCCGGTCATTCAATTGAGTCACAGGTGCGCCTCAGTCTTGCTTTGATAATTCGCTGCTGTTCAATCGATGGGCGAAATATCCTTTCTTTCTTCCATGTCAGCAACGAGGGATTGGCTCCAAAACAAAAAGGAAGATCCTAAATCGTCTTTAACATTAAAATAATATCCCTTCCAATTCAAAATCTAATACAATCCTGGCAAAGAGGAAGCTTCAAGATTTTTTGACGCATGCGTCCCCATCATAAACAGTGGAGTGACTCATCATCGACCAATCACGTTCCAGCTCAATTTAACGTGAAAACGAGCAGTTTCCGGTCACTTCCTTTTCCGGTTAGCCTTAATTGCCTTGTGTACAATTGCCGAAAATAAAAAATAAGAATCAATGTAGTTACAACAGTCATAGCACTCGCTGATTTTACTTGATAACTGGAGCCTTTAGCCAGACGATGTCAAAAATGAGGTTAGAAAGCTTCCTCTGAAATAATCACCCTTGCCCCCAAATACATATACTCACCTTTGACGTCAGTTCTTATTTCGTTGGGAAGTACATGATATATCCGTCCCGTTATATTAGCTGTTTGTATTTAAGAAACTGTGATGTTTTCATTTTTAATCCTTTCGAAAAGAGTAATAAAGATTAAAAAAAATTTCAGTTCGTTTTTGACCAAACACGGGCTATTCACTGAAACGAAAACGAAGCCTCGTCATGCGTAAAATATTTACGGATAGAAAATCGTGACATTGTTATGCAATTTTGGCTCTTACTTGGGAAAATGTATTCTACACAATAATTCCTAAAAAGTATCATCCATCATTTCAACGTAAAAAACAAAAACTGCAAGACTCCCAAAAACGTGAATACAAGTTGACAACGATATTTAAAGCGATATCATTAATGACTAGGCAGAAACTTGGGCTTCAATAAGCGTCAAAAAATATTTAAAGAATAAATATGAAGTTATTTTAGATATATTTTCCCTAATAGTGAGATCGCGTGATCATAAAAAAGAAAACAATTAGCAACGCGTGAACTTGTATGCTGTCTCGAAAAAACTGATATCTTCAGGAGAGCAAAACAAATAAAGGTCAGCAAGGCCGTACTTATGGTGAAAGTCTTTCAAGAGGTTGTTAATACTTTAAAATCACTTTAGACTCACTTCGCTTTAATTCGTGCATGACGGTGATGTCAAAACAATTAACCAAGAACGTGCAGCGTGGTTTGAACCGAAAAAGCTGGTAATTAACATAAACCAGCGAAATGTACCCAGTAGTTATCCTCAAACATTTCTCGCAATGTTTTTTATCCACCGCTATAAAAGTGTTATTTCATTGAAGAGACTGTGGGTTGTAAATTCGAATGTTCGTATTCGTGAGTCCAATACAGAGACACGAGTCAGTTCCAGTCCAATGGTGATAAAGTGTGAAAGAGCACAGGTCACCCAATTGGAAATATGATCATCGCAATTACCAGTTTTAGAGCAAAAATCCGGCACGCGACATGGCCTTTAAACAGCAACAAAAGACAGATGAAATGGCGACAAACAGCATGAAGATGGGTTAAATACCGGCAGGGGCAAGGCCTACCCTTTAAAAACGCGAAACAACCGGGTTTGAAATTCAGGAGACTAAGGACATACGTAACCGTACTCCTGGCGTATAAAGCGACACTCCAAAATGCGGAGATTCATGATCAGTGGTCGCTTACGGAAGGTCGTCGCTTTCGAGAATCGAACCACAAAGGGTCTCTTCCGAGGAGAGGTTCCGACACATCTACTTTTGTTTTTTTTTATGGTAGAGAACTTATTGTACGCAATTTCTTAGTTACGCCTGATAGGCGTAGTTTCATGTTGTCACTGAAAGTTCCTTGTATGCGTCCCAGGGGGGGGACTCATGAAAGGGGTGGGGATGCTCGTCAGAAATTTTGAATTAAACCCCTAAAAGAGACCGACCTGGGCGTGGCCCAAGATTTTTTTTTTTGACCCCTAAAAGAGACCATGTTAAAACACAGACAATATATATATTTTCATATTTGTTCGAGGGGAACCATAAACGAGACCTTCACGGCTAAATATTATGGCGTTTCGCCCAGAACACCCTAAGTGAGACCAAAATCCGAAATTTACACCCCTAAGCGAGACGACGAGCATCCCCACCCCTTTCATATGAGGAGTCCCCCTCCTGGTATGCGCTTAGTGGCATAGTACATACAGAGAAACAAAGAGACCACACCATGCGTCAAGTGGTCACTTACAAGTGGGTGAAAACAATGGAAACTAATAAAAGCGCCTCAAGTGGTCACCGTCGCTTATAAGAGATGGTCGTTTTATTTCGAGAGGCTTTGACTGGAAAAATGTGGATGAAGAAATGGCCATGATTGACTCAAGGAACCACATGTCACCGGAAAGAATAAACACTGCGTAATTTATGCGATCTGAAGTAGAATTGAAAGTTCCTCTATACAATCTACATATTTTGTCCACCACTGTTTAAGTGTTATTTCACCGAAAAGCGTATGGGATTACTGAACCTGAGAGTAGGTAAGTCCATTATCAACCGATTTATTTAACAGACTAATTTAATGATAAACGTCATCACCAGTCTTTAATGTGCGCTAAGTTAATAGGAGTAAAATGTCCAAAATTTGGTAAATATTGCTTAAAATAAGCCGGTATATGCAAAGCAGAGGTGCTAACTACAACTTACTTTCAATCGACTGAATACTCGTATCGATCTGACAAGGTATGTCACTCGACGTAAACACTTAGACCGTTACCTTTAGCAACAAGTTGTTGATATAATATAAAAGTTATTTGCTTCTATTATGGATACAGAAGCTTGATTTTTTATAGTTGGCTGACTTTGTAAGTGTTATTATAGTCTAGCTAGACAAGCTCTACCCACACTCCACCCCGAAAAATGTGATCAGAGGTAATTTAAAGTATTGAGCTCTGACTCTATGATATAGTTTAGACATGGTGTACGGCTCATACCATCAGTACCATGTCCGTGCAAAAGCCGCCCCTTCGTTTATAATCGTCTTTTGATGCTTAAAAACAAAATAATACCAAGGAAAGATTGATCGTTATTCCTGACTTGTTTTTAATAACAATTCTTTCTACGCTTGTTGGATGCGAACAAACAGTTATGCAGCCCACTTAATTGGTGCCACCTACGCGCCTCACTTGCTACCTTATCTCACAATAAAATATATAGTTCATGTACATCAAAAATATAGATATATTGATGAAAAAGATTCAGCAAGATTATGGATATTCACAAACCAATACCGGCTCTGATTTGAAATACGCTCTTAGTTTTCATGTTATTGACTTAACTTTATTTATCAACATATTTTGTTTTTCTTTGTTTGTTAGTTTTTTGGTTGAAATCACGGCGACTCAGCAGAAACATTTTTGGCCTTCTTTCTTCCACCGCTCCTCAAGGAGAATAAAGCAATTGAGCTAGAGCTCGAACGAGAATCAAATAAATAATACGGTGATTATTATCATTATTATTATTATTTTTTTAATCCATGAAGACAGCACGATTAATTTTGATTCCTCTCTGAACTAGAAATGTGGAACTTACACAGCTTGCACCCTGTTACCTCTAGGTTCCAGAGGGTTTTTTTTTCTTACAGCTTTATCAAATCGCGAGCATGCAAGGTTTATTTTGAGAACGGACCTCTGGGAACTAGGATGACACCCTAAAGATAGACAGAGCTGACTTTTTGACGCTTACGTAGTACGGACTACGGTTAATTCCGGCAGTCCTTCCTTGTCTTTCTTCCTCTCAGACTAAGGGGAATGGTTCATTTTCTCTCTTACCCTGGCTCCAGGACCTAATATGAAATAACCATGCGCACGTTTCCCGGGGGGAGGGGGGGTTAGTTGGTACAATTTTTGCTGGGTATATTTTTGGCATTTGAATTTACCTATCTAAAAGTTAAGCGAGAAGGTTCAGTTAGTCAGATTCTTCGCAATCTAATGCTGGGTTTGTACACGAGTCCTTTTTGTGGACAAACGATCATTTACATGAGAGCAATCATAGACTGAAAGTGTTCTAAGGCACTCAAACAAGCTTTATTTCACACCAAAAACTGAAATCACAAGCTAACTACGTGCTTTGCTGTAATGAAAATATTGTGAAAGTGATAAACTGAAATGCTTGTCATTGACACTAAGAAAAGCTGTAGAGGCAAACCAAGAGGGAGAACGGAAAACGGACATGGCCGGCACTAAGAAAACTCTGTATGGGTGATATTCCGTTACAAATCAAAGTCGCCACGAGATGTAATTGATTCTAATCAAGTTTAGCAACAGAGAGCAGAGAAATCTGCACGTTCAGAGTTCTTGTTGTTGATTATTTTATTTTCTTCGTTTCTGCAGTCGACGTCGTTGTGGTGCTTGAGCTCGCCAGTATTGTTACCACTCAAAACAATTCTTGATACGCGACGATTTCCCCTGAAAAAACGACAATTTGATGGAAAACGCGCGACGAAATCAACATCCGTAGGTACCCATACAGAGAGGCTCATTATAGCTATATTCATTCTCCTCTATTGCTTTTTGACGTCCCCATTGCCGTCGCTACAGCTTGTTCCAGGCTCCGAGATAGTAGGGTCCGCTGAAATGAGAAAGCGCGAACACGAAAATAAAACGGGAGGAAACTGGGGAGACCAGGGGCCTTTTACTTTTGCCTCTTTCCTACTATCTGTGAGTCTGGTCTGACCAGGCTACCATCGCCGTCGTCGGATCGGCAATAGGGACCTTAAGATCCGAGGACGGCGACGGCAGCGAAAACGTCGCTGAAAAAGTGAATTCGCGTTCCTTCAATGTTCATCGCGACTACTCCAAGTCACTAACTTTTTTAGATGTAGGCGAACCCTCCTAAAGTTGAATTCCTAAGAATCATATCCAAGTTTAGAAAGAGAGGGGAAATTTTGTCGTCTCTTATGTACTTCCTCTGTAAAACGTGAAATCAGGCATTTTCACGTCGTAGTCGTGCAGCGACGGCAAAGGCATGTACAAAAAAGCGTGATGCAGGCGCAAAGTTGTTGTTTTGGTTATTAGACCTATTGCTTTTTTGACGTACTCGTTGCCGTCGCCGTCGTCGGATCTTAAGGTCCCTGATAGGGAGCTTAAGCAATAACAACGGCGACGGCTACGAAAACGTCACTTAAAATGTGAATTCGCTCTGCCTCAAACTTTATAGGCTCGATTACCAGCCGCTGTTCGGGAAAATGCGCCCACACTCATCCCCCGTCTCTCTTCGGGGAGGATCAAAGACCGGACCCGGGAGACGGTGGAAATCGAGCCTACAAACTTTATCACGCTTATTACATCTCGTTTAATTCGTCAAATGCTGGCAATGTTTTTCGAGTTGAATTGTAAAGTTGTTTTGTGTTCCCGTCCTCGACAAAACGTGAAATGAAGCACTTTCACTTTGTAGTCGTGCAACGACGGATAAGAAATAAACAAAAAAGCGTGATGCACGTGCAAAGTTGTTGTTTTGCCAATCTAAGCCCATTGCTTTTTGCCATTCTCGTTGCCGTCGCCGTCGTGGTTGCTTAAGCTCCCTAACTGAGTGAGTTTGCGCAACAGGACGGAGCGCTTGGGCGTGACAAACATGACAGGGCCATTACGTGCGTGTTCTTCAACTAACATAAACGTTTTCTGGTCTTTAAAAAAAGATCTGTTTAAAGGAATGGGAAGTTTGGCGAAAAGTTATTTCAAACAAAATTATTGTCACGTTTCCCCCCAAAAGGTTTGCCGTCCTCTTTCCTTCTCCATCCTGTTGTGCATGCTCACTATCGAGACAACCTCAGCAGCAAAAAGTCACTCTTAAAGTAAATTTACGTTCCTTCAAAACTTCAATGCAAATATTCCTCTCTTAATTGTGAACTCCTCGTCCTTGTGCACGTGTTTGTCTTCCAGAAAACCCCACATTTGCAGTGACGGCAAAGAAATAATTAACGCGGCATTGCACGTTCTACAACTCACAAATCGTCACGTCAGTTCTGTCAAGTTAACTGATTAATGGCGCCGAAACCAGTTGTGGAGTTGCACACATTTCAGGCATCCTACTGACGAACAGTTACTGCTTTTAGATAATTTTATGCGCAGCAATAATTATATGGGGTCTGTTGCCTTAGAATTGCAACAAATCAGGTTGTTGCAGGCTACAAAACGCTGTGGCAAAAAGTAAAATCTGTACATGTTGCTGCGTTTTGCAGCAAATGATGTAAACCATTGTGTATGGCGTGATTCCCGTGTAATTTTATCCAATCAGAAGTCAGTATTTACGCAACTTGCAAAAAAAAAAAAAATCTGAAAAAACCTGGTCAAACTCATCAGTGTTTCAACACAGGTTTGAACGTGGGTGTCACAGCAGAGAGGAGTTATTTGCGACCCTGATCGCGAGTCCCCTTTGTTTGTGTAGACTGATCAAACCGTCATGCGATCGTGTTACAAATCTGGAAAAATATTATCCGATGCTCCGGAAAACGGCATTTCGTGCCTCGTTCGTTGTCTGCGTGGCAACCGCTTCCGTGCGGATTCGGAGCGAAGAACAAGGAACCTTGAGTCAAAGACCGCTTTTTGGCTCTCGTTCCATTTTTCGAGCGGCCAACACTGAAAATCCCGTTCCTCGTCGTTCCGCCGTCTCTCTTTGCTCCGTAGCCTGCGCGCAGACGAAATTAAACTCTGGTTAACTCCATCTGCGAAACAGCGCCGAAATCCTTGTTCTGGACTTCCAGCTGTGTACCCAGATTTGAGTACGCGCCACGATTGGCCAGTTAAAAAAGGCCTTTGTTTTGTTTGTCGTGATCACCAATCAGGTTGAAGGGGAATTCGAAACGCACTTCCGGTAATTCGTTGAGTCCGTTGGGGGTCCAGAACAAGGATCTCTGCGCTGCTTCGCAGACGGTACTAATCAGAGTTTAGTTATCGTCTGCACGCAGGCTATTTGCTCCGAAACCACACGGAAGCACTTGCCACATAGGCTAGCCAACCACTGAATAAAATTTTACCATTTTTGTAACACGATCGCATGACAGGTTCATACTCGAAATTCTATTGTAGGAGACTCGCGCCATAAACTGTTTTTTGAAGTTTTTAAACTGCAATCCAGGTCACAAATAACTTCTCTGTGCCCTGTGAAATGCTGCTAAATAAATTGTGTGTTTTTTATTACCCGACTTAATAGGAGCTTCCATAGGCTTTACTGGGCTGCTGGGCGTTCACACACGACAGTTCCTTCTTGAGAACAATATGCCGGTAGCCACAGTTCGTCATCATTAATCATTGTTGCACAAAATTTATCAGCATAAGGGTGTTGACCCCAGGGGCGTTGACCTAAAGCGTGATCAAACGATGGATCCATGTTGTTGTATGTGACTTCTTCGTCACTGTCAAGCAACTTCCAAACCACTTTACGCCTTCCATAAAAATCAATGTCTGTGAATGTTAACCTCAATCCTAGCCACACTTGTGTATCCTTAGGTAATTTTCCGACAACATCATTCTTAATAAACCGTTCTTCTTCTTTGGAGTTGAGAACAAGAATACTGGAATCCTTTCTTTTACAATCTTCCTCTGCCGCCTTAAAACTTTTACTTGTTTTAACATACAGATAACAAGAATCTTCAAAATCCTTCCAGCCATCCGGGCATTTATCTGTAAATTTTGAAAAATATTGATCATTGTTTACAAAACGAAGCTATTGAGCGTTTTCAGTCACTTAAGTGCCAGCATCTATTCAAATTCATTGCAGCAAAAGAAAGCGTTTACATAAGAAGATCAACCACAGTATTAGTTTTCTATTCCTAGTGGACGCTCGCTTAACAAAGACCTGGGTCTCCAGAGCTGAGTTAAGGGACATGCGAGTCCGCAGGCGAGAAGGCGATAATGAGATAAAAAAATAGGGGGAAGGGAGGGTCAAGCAAACGACCCCCTAAGCAAAACGAGTGTAGACCAACCCCACCCCCAACAATACAAGAGGCTTGGACGGCGCATGAATCCAATCCTCCCGCACGAAATAGAGCTATCGCCAGTAATTGGTAAGTATTAAGGCCAGTATTACACCAGCCAGGGGCACCCAACGACAATAGAGTTCAAAGCCACTTAAACATGGCATAATTAAACGCACTTTAGTATTTAAACGGTAGATATAGGCATATTTTTATCCCCTAAAAAATTTTTGATCTGTTCTGATTTCCTAGCTGAAAGGCTAGTGTTACGAAAATTATAGGGATCAAAACTTTTCGAAAATTTCAGCCAGGAAAAAGGCTTTCCGAAAATTCTAGGTGACCATTTTGGGATAAACATCCGTTAAAAATGGACAATTATACCACTTTTTAGGTGTTGGAAAATCCTTGGAGAGGCAGGCAAGCAAGAAAGTTTACAACAAATGGCCAGCGAGCACTGGGAATAGTTTGGAACACCAACATGGCCGCCGTTTCATTCCACTCGTAGCGTATTCGAACCGCTTTCGCACATGCACATGACAAAAACGCTAAAATGATAGAAATACGATAGCCAGCATCCGTGTTACCAGTAGTATATGACGTATTTCATCATATTCTCTGTTTTCACTGTCACGGCATCAAAAATTAAGGAATGGAAACCATTCCCTGCGGAAAGTTTAGAATCTGGGAAGTAAAAGAAGATAAATATCTTCAAAAGCCTCGCCAAAAATCAGGTCTATGCGATGTTTCATATGCGAGGTGTTTGGAAATGTTTTACCCAAACTTAAAAAGCGTTTGTATGGAGACGCCATCTTGGTGTCCCTTTTAGGGACACTAATATGGCGGCCAAAAACCAGCAGAAACATCTGTCTTTGAGTTTCCCTACAAACTAAAGCGTGAATTCATCACTTGAAGAACTCGTAAAGATTAAAGTAGTGTTTATTCTGCGACAAAGAATGTTTAGATGACAAAATCTCAAAAAATCGGTTATGTTTTTGAGGACTTTCCCGGCCGCACGGTAAATGCCGCGTCACGGAGCACCCTCTTTTGCAAACAAAAGAAACCTTTCGAGCCGAAAATTTGTATGAATATAGTTTTTTAGTTGCTAAAATACCTCATGAAAGTCGAAACTCAGAACTAAATCGAAAACTCCTTAGTTTGAATTTTGGTGACTTCATGTGTAAATTAGAAAACCTCTGATTTCGTCCGTCCACACGTAAAAGGGGAGCCGACGTTTTTGACAAATCTCCACCCTGGGGTCCGAACCTAAGCCTCTTTTTGTGTGTGGAAGGAGGGCTAAAACGGAGGAAGTACTAGACTGCAAAACAGTCGGTTTTTCTCTCAAAATCAGTAAAGAAATCGGTAAAGTGTGGCGTTAGAGTCTTACACGCGCGAAGCGCGCGAGCCTCACACGCCCTACGGGCATGTGAGGCGACAAAAAAAACGTATTTTTAGTGTCTCTCCCCAGTCTCACTCTCCGTTTTCAGCCTCGTTCCAGACCTTTTGTTTGACTGCTCGCGCTTACTTGAATACGTAAAAATACGGACTGTTTTGTAGTTTAAGGAAATACTCTCCTTTTCTAAAACATCAGGATACGGGTGGACGGGGTCTTAAACTCAGGGATTTCTCGCTTTTCCATGTGACAAGCCAAGGACCTCTCGCCTTTGTCATGAACCCAGTTATCGATTTTTTTTTATCTGTGAGGGGCAGCTACAGGCTAATTTTTGACCAAATAAACGGATTCTTGCGCTAGGAAAAAAATGCTCACGAGAGAAAACAAGATAGCCTGGACCAGAAATTCTGGCTGCGGCGACTGAAATGGCTTAGCACAAGACAAAAAGAGACTCTGCTGTTAGGGTGGATATTTTGATATTAAGTTTAAAGGATTAAATTATTTGGACTAAGTCCACAAAAATAAAGTCAAAATAAAATCATATAACATGTCAATCTACCAACTGCACAGGTATCACCACTGAATCCTTCAGCACAGTCGCATTGATAATTTCCAGGCTTTTCCTTGTTTTCCACACATGTGCCGTCATTTTGGCAAGGGTTCGGCTGACACGGATTAGCAGCTAAAAACAAGACAAAGCTAAAGAATTACTAATCAGAGTCTTTTACCCGTGATAAAAGAGGGGGTTACACTCCCTCCCTCCTAAAACAACCAGAAGAAAATAATCAGCCAGGACTTTATATAATAAGGAGCTGTTGAAAATGAAATAGCCTACATAAGAGGAGCTTAATATTGCACGCGAAATGAGCGATGCGCGCGCCAGAGAAGGAAAAGCACCTTAAAGTTTTCTACTGTGCCTGCTGCGAAAGTTACAATACTCGTCACATTTTGTTGAAACACTTTTCACGTTACGCCCTACCCGATGTTTATTTACGCATTACGCATTCAACAATTATTCCGACGAGTTGGCGATAATCATCTCATATCCAACAAGCGCGAGTGGAATAATTGTTTTATTAAAAACGCCCACAAAATATATAGAGAATTCTTCGCGACTTTATTTGTAAAAACAACCGATTTTAAGCATGTTTTTAATTTTGAGCAGACGTGTTCAGTTACCATATTTGGGGAGCATGGTATAATGGCTCATATACCATGATGACTAAGGCAATCAGAGCTCTAAATTGCACTATCCAATGCTTTAGTTTTTAGTAATTGCAAATATACCCGAATTTGAGCATTGGAAAAGGAGAGGAGAAGTACACTCGGGGAAAAGTTAAATAGGTTGGTTGAGAATTCGTGACATGAAAAATCCTCGGTTTCAGCCTGGTGCTTTAACAATATTTGACGAGTTTTGTGGCGATGAAAAGGATGCACAGGATTAGTACTTTAGTGACCTCTGAACTTATATTAAATTTATACCTTTATGTCGTCAAAGATAAAACAAACCACAAACCTAATTCGCAGTGATCCCCAATGTATTTATTTGCACATAGACACTGGTATTTCTCGTTCCCTAACTCTTTGCATGATCCACCATTCATACAAGGATTTTTCTGGCAACCCCCTGAAATTTTTTCACAATATAAAACAAGCTTAGTTTTTTCATGGAACTAAGATGAGAGTTTTCAATACCGGTTCTTCAATCCCGTAATCCCGACCCAAAATTTCGTGCTATCCCGTAATCCCACCTTCCGCGCATACTTTCAATCCCAAATCTCGTCCCGATTTTGCTCTAAAATCCCGAATCTCGAGTTTCAATCCAGTAATCCCGACCCAAAATTAAATACTAATCTCGAGTTTAAATCCCTGGATCCTGAGGGTTATATTTTGCATCCCACCTACCGCGCATACTTTCAATCCCGAATCCCGATTGTCCCCTAAAAACCCGAATCCCGAGTTTCAATTGACCCATAAGGGATCGTCTAAGATTAATTTTGTCTCTGTCTGCCTCCCCTCTCTGGGTACATGATAATCATTTTAGCTACCAAACATCTTCGATGCAGCTATTGTCACATGAATATCCTGTGGTCAAGTGAATGCGGTGCAACAACGGGCTTTCGGCTGATGAACGCTGAGCGTTAAAGCCGAAATATTTCAGAACAATATTTTTAAATACATTTCGCGAATTCCGTTCATAGTTCTTTTCTAACTGAAGTCAACGAAAACTTTTTTGCTTCAACATTTTGTTGTAATTATTGAATAATGTGTTTCAAAGTTAAACTGAAAATTTGCCAAATGAATCTGCCTGTATCTGAAGCGAGATATGAGACCTGAAATTTGGTGATAGTCTGGCTTTATTACTAGAGTAAATTATATAAATGGACTCACTTGGAACGCAAGTATTGTCCGTTGGTTTGAATCCTTCAGGACATTTTTCCACACACTCTCCATTATCAACTCGCTTGAAGAACAAACAGGCGTTGCAATCTGTTGGCAATGGACTTCCACTTGTAGTACGTCTGCATCCTGAATTAAACAGAAAAGCTCTTCGATAAAGAAGCATTCAATTTCCGCCTATAAACGTTCAAAAGCAACGTTGACGACGAATGAACATAATGCCAAAGTTTGATTATTGCTAATCACAAATAATATTTGCGAATAGCAGTGTTAAAAATGCCCCAAAGTCGTTGTTGGCAGAATCACTTTGTCTGCGCCCGTGAGAGCTTTGGCGGCGAAGCGGCTCTTCGCCATTCTCCACCCGGCTTCGCAACTGCCCTGCCAACTCCTCTACCTCAATGCACGCACTGACGATCCCGCCAGCTACACACTGCGCATTTCTCGTGGGTGTAAAATTTGCCACCACGCACGAGGAATGCCTAAACTATCGGCCACTATTTGTTACAAAACGTTTTCAAGCTTTAGAGGGCCTACCTGGTTGTTTGGAGGTGCAATTATTATAGCTCTCTATCCTAATATGTCTAAACCTTTATCTAACGGAGTACCAAAGTGAGACCACATCAACTATGAGAGTCCTCAGTAGTTAAACTAGGGCAGAATACAAGTAGACTGATAAAGCTGTACTAAGTGGTCTTGAACATTTTCGCACCAAACGCCACGCGCCACGCCTATACATAGAGTCAAGAGCCATAATGGCTCTTGTCTCCATATATATAATTGTAGGTTACTTTTGTTAGTTGATGGATGATTGCCTCGCAAGAAGAACGAAACTTTGAGTAGCGATAAATGTTTACGAACACTTAGTCCAGCTCCGTCAGTCTACTTGTAAACCTTAATCCAAAAATACTACAATTAATTGACCTTTATCCCGACTCAAAATTTCAAAAAAGTGTGCAAAAGCCAAAAGGCCAACCTTTTAATGGGTCGCACATCTCATGGCATTTCTGCACACACATATCACTATCTTGGTCCTTGTGGGTATCTCCTTTGCACTCTGCCTTGGTAAGACTGCGTTTAAGAATATGGGCATCTGTCACTTCCAGAGGATCCTCGCCATTTCCAAATGCATAAAATCGTACGTGAAGGGGTCTCTCTTTGTCAATCATAGAAAGATAGATTTCTCCATTTTCAGTGGTACCCTGGCTTTTTCCATACTCAATAACTGTGGTCTTTTCATCTTGTTTTATGCAAACGAAGTAAGGCTGGTATAAGATTTCATCTCCCAGTCCAACAGCATCGACATCCACACTAGACACTTTTAGAGTTTGTGACTGAAGGGAAAGTTATACGAAAAGTAAGCTTTAAACATTTTACACAACAGGTTTGGTCTACAGTTGTATTAGTGAACGTGAAGAGTGGTAATTAACAGACCTTGCTTATTAAAATAACAAGGAAAATAAACAGAAAAATATGGTCTACTTCTGCAGATGAATGGAATAACGTTAAATTGTCCGATGACACAAATGGCCACAAAGAGATGTGACGTCATTCATTTAAATCAGCAGGGTACTGATTACTTTTGCGTGTCGAGAGTAGGGGCCCCAATTCGAGAATTTACGGCTTACAAGAACTTGTAACGAGGTTGATTAAAAAATTACCAACAAATCGTTCTTACCCTGAATATTCCAACTCCATAGGGGGATATTTGCACATAATACCAGCTGTCTTTGTCCTTGGGAATTGCGGAGAAAATAACAAACATTGTTCCCTTCGTTGAAGCTGTAAAATGTAAACATTTCCCTTCACCTCTAGGGTCAAATCGCAAAGCATTGGACCATTTCACGTTGCAAGGCAAATAACCCACAACCTCGCTCATCTGAAAGATGTGTTCAGCCGGCCATTCTACTCGAGCTAGTTCGCCGCCAATCAGATTGGGATCTAATTCTTTAAAGGTCTGCTTGGAGATGTTAAAGCCGTGTTCATCTAGGTTAAGGGAGCCCATTTTTTCGTCGTATTTTAGAACTAATCCGTAAACGCAGATGTAATGTTCATCGGACTTGACATCACCACTGCCACCTCTTTTGCAGCCACTGAAGAAGTCGAATTTGTAATCATCCTTGCTAACCACCCATTCTCCATCAATGAACCTTACATTACTCTCCAGATGGCTAGGTATTTTCACCATACCATGAAAGGTGCCAGCCAGGTCATTGTCCATCTTAAATATGGTCTTAAATGCTGTGGTATGTTCGGTCATCTCTTTCCACGTTGGTCTCCCTGCTTTTACTTGATACCTGTAGTTCTGCGTCTGACATCCTGGTGTTCCAGCAGGCAGACTTATGTCAGATACTGAAATGGAACCCTGTTAAAACCATAAAAAACAGAGGCTTACCTTTAATTATTATGCTTTATGAGAGAAGGGAATAGGAGCTATGTCGCGTTATTTGCTATATTTTTTAGAAACTTGAAAGTGTCTTCCCATCAATTGAAATACTCAGAAATAAATAAATAAATAAATAAATAATGATTTTGAGGTAGCACATCCACAAAGTGGTTCTTCGTCTAACTGATTCCTGGTCGAATTGGAATTTGAAAATGCTGGTTGTTGAGGAGACGGGAAAACCGGAGTAGAGCAACAACAAACTCAACCCACATATGGCGTCGACGCCGGGATTTGAACCCGGGCCACATTGGTGGGAGGCCATCCCCTGGTCCAGTTTTGTTATTCAAGACTATATTTGGGCATTGAAATTGCTTTCGGTCCTCTGTTGCTACAGGTAGCAAGGATGGATATGGATTGAAACTTGAAAAAAATTGTGGCAATGTTTTCAAATTTTAATGCCATTTCCTGCAAAAATCACCAAAACAGAAATAAAAGCTTCCTCACACAATTTGTTTGATACCTTCTATATATGAGTAAAAGCACTACGTAATGGCTTAAGCACAGAATTAGGGCCAAAACATCTATCCTCCACTACTTCATTCCGCAGCTAAAATTTACAGACTTATCATAACCATTCTCCATATAAAATTAAAATAAATTCATGAAATGTCTGAAAAATGAGTTTACAGATATTTTGTTTGCCCTGTGAGAAGGAGGGGAAGATTTGCACCTTTATAAAAATAAAGTCTATAAATTTACAAATTACAGACATTTCATTATCCCTGTAAAAGGTCCAGTTTTTCCAGTGTTCGCGACAGGCCTCTTTCAACCACCAACCCCTATGGATCTTACCTCTTCCATGTACACGTCAATCGCTCGCTTAAGCGAGGTTCGCCTCTGACGAATGGAATACTCCAGTGCTTCTCGACTAAGATATTCACAAAATTCCTTGACAACAGTTCCATTTACAGTTGCGTTATAATAGAACTTGTTTGTTTTAGGATCTCTTTTTAGCTCAGCTTTGTGTGCCTCACACCCAAAACTTGGCGCATCTTCAGGAAAAAGGTCAGAGGATCGGAAATTCAGCAAATCTGTTATTGGACTAATGGTAAATTTGAAGGCTTTGGGGAATTGTGGAATCGTCTTGAGCCATTGCTTGAACTCAGCTTTAAATGTGGGCGCGTAAACATCGGAAATGATTGACGCTATTTCCTGATTTCCACCTTGCACTGACATTGAAGTAGAAGACTTTTTTGTCTGGGATCGGGCACGCTCCCCTTCTTTGTCACTGCTTCTAGCGCCAGCACTCGCAAAGAAGGTTTTAAATTCAAATTCCATGACTTCACTGAACTCTTCTTTACTTGCTACTTCACTAGCTTCCATGCTTTTGCGTATTTCTAGCTGGCCACCAAAACGAGCTGCCTTGATGTAGTGGGTTCCAAACCGCTGAATGAAGTCCTCTGCAACATAAACCAGGATTTATATGAATGATTACTTTTTGGAGATGGTGTAAACATATTAAGATGTTGGCAATTCACCAGTCCTCTTGACTGATCTCGGTTGACTTCAGGTCTATGAACAATGTCGTGGAATTTTTTTAACTTACGGAATTTGATGGCTGCTCCAGTCTCGTAGTACGACGTTGGTAGCATCATAAATTCTCGAAGGAATCCAATATTCAAATTGTCAGGTGTAACCACATCCATAAATAACTCGTACCTGATCAACAGAGAGTGACAATGGATTTATAATTTGTTACAGTATATAAAACTAATCACAAGTTGGGATAGCATTAAACAAAGGCCTACGCTTCTTTCGGGACATTCTGATCAATCAATCTATAGAAACCTGGCAAAATTAAAGCCTACCTGTCAACGTCAATGTCGAACACTGCGAGATATTTCTGCTTTCCTGAAGTTGTTGAGCTTCCCCAAGCTTTCTTTACTCCACCATAAAAGCCAAAGCCAGATCCAGAGACACCAGACTGTTGTTCCAAATATTTTTGGTATTCTGACCGGCTGTAAAATACCTGCATATTTGCTTGGGTGTCATAAACTCCCAATAGCTTCATGGTGTCTGGAATCATTTTACCGTTGTATCTACAATGAAAACAATGGCACAGGGAGCACTTAAATAAATGTAGAATTCATGACTAGGCGTAGTGATAAAAGTATTAAAGTTGACCCTTTTTACGCAGTGCAGTCTCGCACTTTGAGAAATAGTGCGAAAACAAGTGAGTGGAGTTTGAAAATTGGAACGCGAAGGGTAAACATAGACTACATGAAAATCTCTCAGGACGACGAGGACAACCTAAGAGGCATAAAGTTTCATCAAATATTCGCTTCGAAGACTTTAGGAAAGAAAAGTCTCTTACGTTTTGGGTGAACACTGGTGAAGAACAATACATTCTAGACATATTGCGGTGTCCAATGGACCTCACATCAAAAGACCTAGGTCAGGTGATGGTTGCCTATCTCAGAAACATTCCCAGTTTAGTGCAACTGAATTCTCCCCTCCCCGAGATCCTCTCCAGAACTCAATGGTGATGATAAACTCACTTGTCAAGGATAGTGCTGAGGGAGTATTGATAGAATCGTGCAAACCCTAAAAGGCGCACGACGGCAGATTAACCACCGACCCACACTCAGGGTAACCAGTATAGCAGCTTTGCAAACACTGATCTTTGCGTCTTTCAGAAGGTCGTTATTTTTTCACACACGCCTGTCCATGATTTAAAGGAACTGTTTGCTTTGGTTTGTCTATTTGCAACGTTATAGTGAATCTCGGTGTCAAAGAACTCATAGACTGAGGAAAAACTAGTTAAATAATGTAATTAATTACTCACCTTTGCTTCCTTTTGCAAGCTCTCTGTACGAGATCCATTTTGCTGGAATCTGGGCTGTACTCTCCACGACCGTCAAACCCAACTCCAATAAAAGTTGCTCCCGGTATCAAGTCCTGTGCGAAAAACGGGCAAAAAATGATTTTCGTTAGTATTACCCAAAGACTGACAGTAAAGGCTTGTTTACATTTGGCAAGGTTAGTTGGGCGCGTCTCATGGATGTTTGAAAATGAGCTAAAAACAAGCCGTCAACTGCATTTGCCATTATTTTCCCACTCCTTGTGTCGCCATTCGTCAATTTTGTTGCAGTTGTTAACTCGTGCAAATGCGCATGCAGAAATCATGTGATTGGCCAAGACCATTCGCACTTTGTGACTGTATAACCCCCAAGTAAGGTAAACCAACACTGTTTTGGATCCTTTTCCTTGTCAGTGAAACTTGTATTCCAGATTCCAATCGCTAGCTGGCGGATTCTGCATTCCTTGAGCTACATTAAGAATTTCAAAACTCTAGGATTACGGATTCCACAAGCCAAAATTTCCCATACTCCGAAATTCGGATTACTTTTCGTAAGGCTCAGGTTAGCTTTACTAAAGCCAATAACTTCGCGAAGCGCTCATTAAAAGACACATGACATGTAGTTCAGCTCACTCACCAAGCATATTGTCGTTGCCCAGGTAGCGTCATAGCATCGGTCACCCGGTTGGTACCCAGACCCAAAACATCCGTTCATAATCATACCTCCAGCGCCAAAGGGAAAAGTGAAAGGCTGCATTCCGTTTACAGGAGGCGCTGGTTTAGATTCTGGTTGAATTTTTGCTTCCATGTGGTACCCAGGAGGAATGAACATATCATCAGTTTGCCATCCTTTATCTCCAGTAATGTCCAGTTTAATCTAAGGCAGAAAAAATTTTAGAACGTATTCAGACAATAAGACAGTTACCTTTTCAGAAGAAGCAATCAGCAGGCAGACTTCAAGGGACCACATCCTCAGTGGGGGTACTGTCCTGAATTTATAATGGGGTGTGCCGCTGACATTTCAAGACTCTGGACCGGTTCCGACAGACATAAAGAGATGAATCTGCCGCCATGTTCCAGAAAATAATAATTATTGTAAAAATGAGAATCCTGTTCCAGACAAGTAAGAATACGTATTATTATAATTGTTGCAAATTTGTCTACCCCTTGCTGACATCACGTCAGCTTGATCGAGAGTAATCAGGTATTATGGTGGACCAAATGTCGACTCTGCTCCAGAGCAAAACTTAAGTAAAATGTACCCGACTTCCAGAGATAAAGGCTGACTACGTCTTTAAGACGCCGCATAGGTATTTTAGTTGGGGCTTATTCTACGTTAACAGGTCAGTAGTTAAAACTACCCTGTGACGTAGGATAAGCCCGTACTTCATCCGTAAAAAAACTGGATCACTTTTCAAAAATAAATAAGTTAGGCAATGCACCGCATTTTCAAGTAATGATGCATTAGTTGTTTACTCCATGCATACCTCTTCGCCTAGAAATTGGTCCACCTTGCCTTTCTGTTCCTCCAGTGTTTCCATTTGTTTTTCTGCCATTTTGCCTGCCATATCCACTGCTTTCTCTCCAGCCTTGGCGCCCATTTGCACAGCCGCGGGATTGACTCGTTTTTCCAGTCCTCTTTTTTCCTTTTTAATTACAAAATCAAAAAAACTTATCCTGTTTGAATTCAATAGCAGGAATTCATTTCGAGTTTATCAATTCTCGGAGATAATTCGTGGACGTGATCTTAGCCCGAGAGTACTAACTTTCATTCTTACTTTGAATTCTTGGCCCAGGTTACTAGTCAATATAATTTTTGTTGCACATTGTCTTCTGATTGGCTATCCGTTCGGCATTTCCCGCTATGGCCCCGCAAGAAAATGTCCTCTTTTAGCCATTTAAAAAAAGAAATTTTAAGGACCAAGCTTTTTCTCTCAAAATGGCTAAATATTTGCCTCGTACTTAGCCAATATCCAGCCATCTTGACTTCATGCTTGTAGCAAGAGATTGCCCGGCCTTGTAAGGGAATGTAAGACAGTCTTGGATATTCTGGATTCCGTATTCCAGCGAAATGATTCCGTATTCTAATCTTAAGTGGGACCCCGGAATCCTTGAGCTGTATTCCAGATTCGAAAGCCCAGGATTTCAATTCTCAAAAGAAAAAAACCTTCCCGGATCCCGGATTCCACATGCAAAAATTCTCCGGATTGCGGAATCCAGATTCCCTTACAAAGGGCGAAAGAGAAGATAGTAGCAAGAGGGTCCTCAAAAGGTTTTTGGGGACACAGGATTTCCCTTATTTGAAGCTCGGGATTAGGAATCTGAAAGCAAAATCAGGGCGAGTTTTGGGATTGAAAGTATGTTTGGGAACTGGGATGCCAAAAATACCCTCGCGATTACGGGATTGCACGAAACTTTAGGTCGGAATCACGGGATTGAAGAACCGTGGAGACCCTCTAGAATGTTACCTTGGAGCTAGAATCGTCCTTTTCTTTCCCGTCTTTTTCTGCTTTCCTCTCCAGCTCACGTGACAATAACTTCACCCCTGCCTCTAACATTTTTTCTCCAAGATTGTTATTCATGTTCTAAAAATTTAATCGCAGTGATACATAACAAATTACAAAACTTAAAGTGTGCTTATGAGGGTTTTTTTATTTTTACTTAGTATTTTTCTCTGACAGCTTCTGAATGGAAATTTTTTATAATTTTGATAAATCTTTACTTTAGACTGAGCTAGATAGGGAAGTATCAAATGTCATTTCAATGTCTTGCAGAGCCCCTAGTTCTTACATAAATACAGGGCAAAGAGGTATAGAAGTAAATGGGAGCTTTCAGCAAATTCTTGTGTTTTCAGAAGTCAGCCTTGAAGACTTGCGTTAGTTGCCTTTCCACATTTTCTCACAATAAAGACATATGATCGTTTGAATTGTACGAAAAACCTTTAGCAAAATGTCCTTAAACTGCTGCAGAAATCATTGACAAGGTGGTCCGCACTTTAAGAATTAAGATGGAAAGAGAAACGTACCTCATCATTCCATTTCGACGTTGAGTTTTTCTTTTGAACGGCTGCCTTATTTTCATCGTGCTGAGGTCGTTGGCTGACAGCTGTTTGCACTATATCTTAAAGAAAAGAAAATGTTTAAGAAGGCAATAACAGCTTGCTTGGATTGCCGAATTAAAGAATCCCTTTATGTTACCCCACCCCTACTTCAACAAACTGATCATATGAAGACGCAAACTGTATTTAATCTTACTATAAACCCGCGTGGGAATCATTGGAAGAAGGAGTGGAGAAGATTTGGTAAACGGTACTTAGCTCTGGAAAATCCCTAGCTACAACTAAGATCCATTGTTGATAACTTAACCCATTTTAATCTCTATCCACGACATGCAAGTTTTCTCGATTGATCTCCATACATTTCCCTCACTTGCAAGCATCTCCCTCAGACGATCATTTTATTAATTCTCATAAGCTTTTCTCGTTATTATGATTGACGTGATTGATCTTGTTAACAGAAAACTAAGGTTGAGCATTCTTGAAACGTAAAGAATTAATGCACTCACGGTTACTATTCATATCCTCTTGGATCCTTTTTACTGCTTCTGCTATATCATCAAATCTCTTTGACGAGTCAGACCGGCGTTGGCTACCCTTCATTGAATCTTCATATGGGCTTGTTTCCCTTCTAGTGACAACATTAGCTGTGGAATAGGAATCACTTCATATAAGACTCATTTTTTATCAAAGTTTCTAAGATAAAAACAATGTCTGACAAAGCCATTTATACTATACTAGAAATTTAATGACGCCATTAATGGAGTAGCAATTATTCAAAAGTGAGGCTAAGGGTAATGTAAAGGCTCTTGGCATAATTCTTTACATTATACGAAAGCCGAAATCCAAAATTGCTTCATTATTTACTCAAAAGTTCTTAACAAGGTTACCTCCTCGTGCAATTTTTTTTTCTTGAAAAAACTTCGGCCCATTTTCTGGCATGGTTTCAGCGGATATGAACAGATGTTTTTACTTTCTTGCACATACTCTTCAGAAAGTAGACAACATCATTAAGCAATACTTTTGGGCACTCTTTTATTCTTACCGTTCAGTTTTAGTTAATAATTCGACTATTTCGTCTTCGGATAGCCATGAACGGCATTTTTTTAATGGTTGGCTATGACCCAAGCAGCCTCGTTTCCAGGCAAATATATAAATATACCATCAATACATATTCCCGACTATAAAATCAGCCTACTAGACTACGCGGTCGTCCGATTTTGTTAATCACTGGTATGGTTACAGACCGAATTGGACTCCACTGAGTCCTGTTACCATTACTTATTAGGATCCGGTCCTTCTTTTTTGTAAGTTGGTCCTTGCTTTCAAAATTGAACCATCGTTTAAACTCGTTTCCAAGCAAATATACCTTGGAATTGATGGTATATTGCTGGCATCTTCCAAATTTGGTCAACACTCGCTGGTTTAGGAAGAATCAGGCGGAGGATTTGAGCCAATCAGAAACGGCGAAATGTTTTGAATTAATAATAATAATAATAATAATAGTAAACACTGACCTCTGCATATCGCCAATAACAGCCATACAGGGAGTAAGTATCCCAAGTAATTCATCTTCTGATTGCCTGGAAAGTGTACAAACTAATGGTGTTTAATGTAGTGTCTATCAGGTAATGAATAGACTGCGAGCAGGCTCTCTTTTTCTTCAGATTCAGTGAGTGGAGTGTATGCGCGCGTGAGCGTCGAACGGTAAGGCGCGAAACGAGGGCGGCAGCCTTCAGTCACGCGCGTGGTCCTTTTAACTCTCGCGACTTTCGCTTGACCTGCTAAGAAAAAGACAGACTGCTCGTAGTATAGGTAATGAAAGGTTTTTGAAAGGACAGTACGACTGGTACAAGATTGATAAGAAAGTGGAAGTTCTAATGTCCAAAAAGGTTGTCAACGACTGCATGATCTCTTGATGGCATACACTAGACATGCGCATTGAAAAGCAGCAAATTCCTGTTTCAAATCTTCGTGTGGTCACTCTGATCGTTAACTTAGCTACCGTTTAAATATAAATTGATATCATAATCCACTCTACCTTTGGTGTGTTAACATTCATTACTCGTTTTGCGCCCTTGCCTTGATTAGGCGGGTGACTTGTATGAGGCCTTTGTGTTATACAAGGCTGATTGTGTTGTACGACTTTAAAGATTAAGAACTAGTTAATTAAAACGTTTTGGGGTACATTCATTCTTGCTGAGCTGATTTGAAGTAACTTTCACATCTGTCGTGTAATGTCACTGTACTTCTATTAATTCATATCTATTTAGTAAAAATTCTAAAGTTAAAGAACTGATATACTTGAGGCTTAAAATTTCTCCCGCGCCAATCTCCTGCAGAACACTCAAATTAAGTATACCTGATATTGGGTTGACTACCATTTGGCGCCTTTTAGAATGAAATTTCATGTTTCAATGAACACTCTCAACAGCAGTTTAGGTGTGTCACCCAAGAGAGGTTTAGAAAAACACTTTTGGTTAAAATTCATCCGAATGAGGAAAACCCGAGCAAACTGTTGTAGATACGAAAAGTTTGCCTTTTTCATGTTCTTTCACCATTACTGAAAAAAACATGAACGCGGTCACCTTCATCAAGGATGCTTTTTGCATAAATTATCCAGGGTGGTTGAGGCCTGAATATTATTAATTGTCGGTGTAAAAGGTAACTTGCATCGCGTAAACGAAAAGCGCGTATCAAAGCTGGGACCGAATTCTTAAACCTTTCGTTGTTATGATCACTGAAGGCTGTTTCATGATAAGAGCAACTAAGCATATTTAAGAATAAAACTCTGGTTTTCTCAGTCAGGAAGAATATCAGAAGCTTTGTTTTAGTACCACCAACACAGAAAGTTATGAATTTTCAAAATAAAATGAATTAGATACAAGCTAAATTTAGCTTCAATGATTCTTACATGAGTAAGTAAATGGTGGTGGTGTCTCAAGATTTTTGTCCGTTTTGAAGACGAGCAAGGACGAGTCAAATTTGCATGAATAAAATGCGCGCAAACTTCGTAATTCATGCCTAATAATTAGGAGTAAAAAGTAATTATTTTCTGAAATTCATCAATGACGAACATTTTGAAAGAGGAAGGGTTAGCGTAGAAAGTGCATCGTTACACAACCTCATAGATACAATAATGCATTTTTTCGTTTTTGCTGAACATGTTAAGTACAGATATTTCAATGATAGACGCAGGACACGTCTTACTCTCGGCTTTAATGCGCGTATTCGAAACGATTTCCAGTGTCTGGTTTTCGCATGAATTTTACCCATAATTAAAAGGACTTGAGTCTCGAGAAGTGATCAGCTTAACCCGTGCTAAAAAAACCGCCCAAAATGCTGAGATGTCCACTTCAATAATTCTCGCTTTGCAGGACGTTGTTCTTGTCCAAAGCGACAAGCCCTGGACTTTTATCATTAGTATAATTGCAATGGACAATCTCACTTTTAAATACATATGATTCACAACAGTATATCTATTTTACTGTGTTTTAAAAGCGACAAAAAACAATTAAAGGTGCACGTACTGTCTTTAGATGGTCGACGGGCTTACCTCAAGGTTCGATTTTCGCAACAGGACGAATGATATCTTGCCCCTAAGGCTGTTTCGTGGACTTGCGTTGACCGGACTGTACAGAAATGAATGCGCTGCTCCTATTTAACTATGAAAACCAGACTGCTTCTAATCCTTCCCAAGAGATTTGAAAACAAAAGTTTGCAGTAAGTGGAAAAGCAAGTAGCACGTACGAAAGCCACTTTTCGTACAGGTATCCCTTATATTTTCCCTTATTTTAGGGAAAAGGAAGCATTCTAAACCGGTTTATTACACTTAAACTTTTTTGAACTCTCCGCGTGATGTGAAGTAAATTTCTTTCTCTTCGGGTGAAATATTTTTGATCTGCTCTTTTATTATTCTTTATAAAATGGGACAATTGTTTTGTTAAGCCTCAGTAACTCCACAGTTTCTTTACTCTTGGAAGAAAAGCGGATAATTTATGGCCGGCGTATACCGTGCTGACCGTGTGGCATTAAACTTTTACGATTTTTGTGATTTTTCCATCGATCCTTAAAAATATGTTCACGCAAATAAAAATCACCACAAACATTTTTCCCGAAAAAATTTACTTCAGAAAAAATATTCCTTAACTTATAAGGCCCCGTCCACAGTATGCCCGATAAATTTGAAAGCGGAAATTTATTTTTCCGGCTTCTCGCCTTCCGTCCACACTAAAACAGACGCACGAATCCGGATAAATTCTCCGTCGAAAACTGTCTCCAGAGTGGAAGAATTTAAAACAGTGTGGACGGAGAACCTTTTGAAAACGGAACGTCTTCGAAACCGGCGACGCTCGGCGACGTCATGATTGTCATGTGATTTCATTGCTCGAGTCTTCCACGATCACAAATCCAACATGGCGGACGACGAGATTATAGGTTTTTTGTTGTCCATGATATCAAGTTTAATTGCATGCTTGGAGTTAAACTGTGACATTCAGCAACAATTCCACCTCGTCATCAGACCAGCATTTGCTTTAGCTTTTTACTTTCGCAGTGTTCTTCTCACCGCTTGACATCCTAGGTAAATTAAAAAAATATTAACCTCTTTCGCGTAAACAACACGGACACAAAATTCAAATATGGCGAGAGTGAAGAGAGGTCGGGTGGGAGTCGACTTCATGGAGGGCTCAATGCCTCGATATGCGCATGCTCAATGGTGCATTTAACCGTTTTTGTCGCCTCTGATCGTTGTAGTGTGCACGCAGAACATTTTATCCGTTTTCATGTGTGGACAGAAAACGTTTCTTTTGTTTTCATTGTAAGAGTTCCGTTTTCAAATTTCTCCGGCATAGTGTAGGTTTGGCCTTAAATTCACTACACAAAAATAGAGTACTCTCAAATCGTGTCTGTTCAATTACAACCTGCTACTATCATTCTTAACAAAACGATATACAGCGAATTACTGGTTTTACATAGCCGCTACGCATACCGTTGTGCTGTTTGAAAATATGTATTTCTATTGTGCGTACTTAAAAAAGCAAAACGATTGTCAATTAAATGCTGGGGTACTGGGTACCTTCTCAACACCAGCTTGTAAAAGGAACTCTGGCCTTCGAACGTTTCACTCAAGCGCTTGCCGTTTGTGGAACGCTCTTGATCCCGAACCTAACACACTCTCCCAGACTAATTTTAAAAATTACTTATTTAAACTTTACCGTAGTTTGATTTCTTCTCTTGATCATTTTAAGATTTGTAAAACCTTTTAGTTTCATTAGTAGTCAATTAATCAATATTGTATTAATAGTAGTTTATTATGTAATTTTAGTTGGTAGATTATATTGGTAGTTAATTAATTAATCGATACTTTTTATTACTTTAATTGTAGGAGGGCCATTATGAAAACTACTGGGTGACCAGTAATCAATGTCTTTACCCTCGTTAAATAAAGTTATTACTTACTTACTTACTTACTTACTTACTTACTCACACTTTGTCGCAGTTAATCAAATTCCCTGAAAAAGTCAAATGTAGGTTGATTTCCCTGGAGTTGATTCCTTGGACAAGGCATTCACAATTACGAAGAGAAAAGCAAAAAAAGTTATTACAGCCAGGGCTCTTACAACAGGGGGTTCTTAAAACCAGAGGTCTTACAACCATTGATTCTTACAACAAGGGGTCTTATAACCAGGGGTTCCTCCAACCAGGAATCTTACAACCATTGGTTATTACGACCAGGAGTCTTAAAACCAGGGTTTCTAACAACTAACGGTCTTACAACCAGGGGTCTTAAAACCAGAAGTTCTTACAACCAGGGGTCTTTACATCCAGGCATCTTAAAACCAGGAGTTCTTACATCCAGGGGTCTCACAACCAGGAGTTCTTACAACCAGGGGTCTTACGCCTAGGGGTTCTAAAAACCAGGGATCTTACAACCAGGGGTTCTTACAACAAGGGGTCTTACAACCAGGGGTCTTACAACCAGGGGTTCTTACAACCAGGGGTTTTTACATCCTGTCACCCCTTGTAACCCCTTGTAACCCCCTGTAACCCCTTGTAACCCCTTGTAACCCCTTGTAACCCCCTGTAACCCCTTGTAACCCCCTGTATTCCCATGTCATAGATCGTGAAAATAGATCGTGAAAAAACGATTTTCGACGTTTTATATAGCAAACAAGCCTTTCTGAACAAAAAAAAATCGGTTTCAAAAACTCACAAAATTGGCATTTTTGCAAAGGGGTTAGTCAATGGTTTTGGTCAAAAATTTGATATTTTGTAAACGTTTCGTTTTATGCAAAATAAACCCAGAAAACGTATTTGGTGACGTTCTCGTTAGAAAACAAGCCTTTTTAGACAATATAAACATGGATTTAAAAAGAAAGCAAAATTGGCATTTTGCAAAGGGGATAGTCCGTGATTTTGGTCAAAAAGTTGAAGTTTTTTCATCTTTTGTATTTATCAAAAATAGATCGAGAAAAAGTGTTTGCTGACGTTCTAGATAAAAAAAGAAGCCTTTAAAGACTATAAAAACAACTGTTTACGAAAAACGAAAAAATTAGAATTTTTCCAAACCGATTAGTCCATCGTTTTGATCAAAAATAAGAGATTTCTTAAACTTTGATTTTTATGCAAAATAGACAAAGAAAAAGTATCTGGGAACGTTCTAGTTAAAAAAAAAGGTTTCTATAACCCTTTGCAACCCCCTGTAACCCCTTGTCATCCCCTGTCACCCCTTGTAACCCCTTGTAACCCCCTGTAACCCCTTGTAGCCCCTTGTAACCCCTTGTAACCCCCTGTAACCCCTTGCAACCCCCTGTATTCCCATGTCATAGATCGTGAACATAGATCGTGAAAAAACGATTTTCGACGTTTTATATAGCAAACAAGCCTTTCTGAACAAAAAAACATCGGTTTCAAAAACCCACAAAATTGGCATTTTTGCAAAGGGGTTAGTCCATGGTTTTGGTCAAAAATTGGAAATTTTGTGAACGTTTCGTTTTATGCAAAATACACCCAGAAAAAGTATTTGGTGACGTTCTCGTTAGAAAACAAGCCTTTCTAGACAATATAAACATGGATTTAAAAAGAAGGCAAAATTGGCATTTTTGCAAAGGGGATAGTCCATGATTTTGGTCAAAAAGTTGAAGTTTTTCCATCTTTTGTATTTATCAAAAATAGATCGAGAAAAATTGTTTGCTGACGTTCTAGATAAAAAAAGAAGCCTTTAAAGACTATAAAAACAACTGTTTACGAAAAACGCAAAATTAGAATTTTTCCAAAGGGGTTACTCCATCGTTTTGATCAAAAATTAGAGATTTCTTCAACTTTGATTTTTATGCAAAATAGACAAAGAAAAAGTATCTGGGAATGTTCTAGTTAAAAAAAAAGGTTTCTAT